ATTCAGCAAGAACAACGCATTGACTCGCTACACGGGGTAGCCCAAAGCCTCGAGAACTGTTCCCGCTGGTCCACATCCATGGCTCTCCGAAGTCAATTTGGTTCAATATAGATGGCACTGGCTGCAGCTTGGTTTTAATCATATACAGGTGCCATCGATTCCAAGAACCGGGTTCCACTTCTTCCACTTCTTGGAGAGTGCCCACCTTTGAAATGAGCCCGCAGAGAGCATCGAGCATCAAGGGCACTGGTGCGGTGAACCTTGGGTGCTGGGCAAGTGGGACCGCATCGCACCTTTCGAAGGGCTTCCATGCCGTTGAGCATAGAGCCCTCTGTGTCTGAAGGCTTACAGTATCCCGACAATCCCTTCAGGTGGCGCATGCCCTCATATTATCTAGGTCCCCCAGCTAGGTGCCCTGTTACCGTTTCTTTTTTTGGGGAGGGTTCCCCTACTAAGATAGACTACAGGAAAAAAGGGTACCCTTATTCTAACCTCTCTACTGGAGGGCCTAGTTATGGCCATAGTAGAGTATACCCTTGTATTATTTGGGCTGTTCAAAGGCAGTCCTTAATCCCCATCTTGCGTTGCTCAAGGGGTCCGGATTAGGGATCACGGAAGCTAGCTTGCTAGAGTCTCTCTTGCAAGTGATGGGTCCAGTGAATCCCAGAACTCTCTGAATCAAGTTTCAAGTTTCCGCATCGTCCAAGAAATGGGTGTGTCCCTTGTTTAGGGGAACCCCCATTTGTGGTGGTTTCCTTTCCTTGTGGTTTCCCTTGAACATGACAAGTGGGGCACCAACCCCATTTCTGGTGGTTTTTCCTTTGGTTTCGCCGAAAATCCACCGGGAAAGGAGGGGACGCTCCTAAGACATGCTCAGGCGCGGAATGGCCTCGACCCCTTGGCCAATCTGGGCCTCAAGCGGTCCAAGAAGTTTTTTGCCCGGAGACCCAACGTTCGGCGCGGTGTTTTCTTTGTTGCATGTTGCCAAGGGATGTTAGGACTTTAGCTTTTTGCCAACGAATGGGTTTTCCATTAAACCACTAAAAGTTACACTTTTAGCAGGGGAGCAGAAAGCAACCGAGTTTTGGGTATGGGGCCGGGTCTGAGAGGCGGCTCAGGGACTGTGCCTTTGTCTAGACCTCCGGTGGATTTCCATGGAGAATGAAACAAGGCGTTGTTGTGGCACTTGATTCTCAAGGGACCCCTCAAACAAACCAACAAAGATGCAAAGACGACAAGCGAGACAAAAACAAAACGCACCGCTGGATGTCTGGGCCGTGCGTCACTTCCATAGAGCCAACAAAAGAAGGTAATCTCCAAAGCAAAAGGAAGTTGTTGTTTTGTCCGGTACTTGATTTGAAAGGCAAATGTACTCCAACGAAAGGAGAAAAGGCTCCGGTGGAGGTCTATCTTGAAAGGATCCTCTCTCTTTTTCGTAGGGGTTTGGGGGCCCTCAAAAAATCATGTTTCTTCTTGGTTTCCCTTTGACAAAATCCCAAACTACAATGTCCTTACAGACCTCTTGGTAGCCCCGCAAGGTTCCCTGTTGAAAACCAAATTTGGATACCCCCCGCACCTTCAAGTCTGGCTCCCTTCCAACCAACAGCTCGCAAAAAGGCTATCGCCTAAGAACACCTATTGGAACTACGCCCTGCTCACTCTATTTGAATTTGTCTCAAAATACGGGGGGCCTCACAATTGGCGATGTTTTTTTCTTTTTTCGCTTCCCTTTACCACCATCCCAAACAGCCATGTCCTTCTAAAAGCAAATTTGGATAGTTTCAGATCGGAGTCCGGCTCCCTGCCAACCAACACCATCGCCAAAGCGGCTCTGCGCTAGTCGCAGTGAGCTCACAGTTTAGGGGACGAAGGGGCGATTCCCATGATTTCTCCCTCAGGAATACCGCGTTGGTGGCTGAATTCTCGAAGTGCAGAACAAATGCGCTTGTTGCGTTTCCTCAATCTCACTTCTTTGGTCCATTTCTTCTCATGGCCCAAAGTGATCTAAACAATGGATCTCTGTTGAACTTTTCTACATGTTCAGTTCACACACAAGAATGAGCCCGTTTCATTCTGGGCTAGCCCAGCATGATAAGGTTGAATCTGGGCAAACGCTGAGCTAGGCTAGGGGCCCGTCTGAAATTTCCCTTGACCCAGGGCGAGACGAAGTGATCGAGCCATTTGCCACAAGGCTGCGCCGGGGGGCGCCGTGCATAGCCCAAGCTGGGTTGTTCAAATCATGCACTGGTGCCCCCAGTTGTTTAGTGGCGCCCTGTTTTCCTCTGGGAGAAGAGCTCGCCAAAACCAAGGTTCCCCTTTTCCCCATGGCCGCTGGCCGCTGGGATTCTGAGTGTCGCATCGGCGTCCCTTGTTTTGTTCGTGTCGCACTTGTTAGTCATGTGTCGGGCCAGGTTCGCCGCGAATCCCAAAACAGAAACGTGACACATATCTCAATTCTACTCTCCACCAGTAGGGCTCAAAGACACTGCGTGCAAGACAGCTGCTGAAGATGCACTCCTGCCTAGCGGTCCTTTGCCAAACTCGTCCGCGCGAAAGCACACCGACGACTGCTCTCATTTCGCTTGGTATTTGCGGGACATTCAAGATCCGCTCCCTAACCTTGACTTGCGAGGCGTGGCAAATACGTGGCAAATACACGGTTGGCAGACTGGTGAATTCATCCGCTGCAAAACAATGGCACTTGCCCATGTTAGTCACACTGCCCTTCACGCTAGCCTTTCTTTTTCTTTTGCCCGCCCCCCACACCATACACTTGCTCGGCTACCAGCGTCGGGGGGGGGGGGCTTGGAGTGTTAGCGGAACGCTGCGCTGTTGGCCCTCAATGCCACCCACTGAAGTTGCCTTCGTGCACACTTACGTCTTGCTGCAAAGGATTTGCGGCATTCTTCCTCTCAGTCCGCTTGGCCTCCCACAATTGCGACCCTTTTTCTCTGTGAACATCTAGACTTCACTACCAAGACATTTTGTCTGGGGGTTCGTAGACGCCGAACATCAATCCGTTGTGGACATATCGTTGATTGTGGATTGGGGCCAACGCCTTTGCCAAACTGCGGCTGGCGCAAGGATTTCTCTGGATCTGGTCTGTGTGTGTCTGTGTGTGTGTTTGTGTGTGTGTGTGTGTGTGTCTGTCTGTATCTGGTTTCCCTTTGGTTTCCTTTTAAAGCACCCAAAAAGGGTGCCTTCAAAAATTTGATAGAAGCCATTTAGGGTCACCCAGCCATTGTACCACAGAATGCTACAGCAATCTGACCCCTTTGATGAGGCTCAGCAATGCCCAGGGCGATATTTTTGTAATTCCCCAAGTGAAGTAGACGCCTGGCAGGTTTATACACCGTGATACTATTCGGGTAGCTGCCAGAGACAAGCAAACATTTTAAGGACCCAGAGGCATGACTCCCCTAATATCCCCACCCGTTGTTTTGTATGCCCTCAACACAGCGACCTTCCCTACACAATTTCCCGCCATAATGCATAGGGGGCGCTTTCCCAGTTTGGAGCGGCCTCAAGTCGCTTAGTCTGCCAAGTTATTTTTGCGAACCTCTAAGATTTCGAAGGAACAAGATGGCTTGAGCTCGTTTCAGTCCAGCGCCCATTTCTAAGGGATGGTCGGTTTCCTTTTGGTTTCCGGCAAGCCACAACCAACAGCCCCCCCTACTTGTAGACATCCGGTATGGCCTGTTCCTCCGTTCGTTTGGACAGGTGCCCGCTTTTTCGCATGCCCGAGGAAACATAATCAAATGTCAACGGATTGACACCAAAGGTTGACACCAAAGTTGACAGATTTGAGAATCATGTGGTTGACACGAAGGGCTCGCCTCGCCGCTGCCATTGAGCGCCAGGCCGCGATTTTCGGCTTCCCCGAGAGCCCCGGGTGAATGCTTAGCTCGCTTCCCAAGTTTCTGGAAGTACTTTTTGGGTCGGTTTCTGGGGTTTCCTCCAACACTAGGTATAGATGTGAAACAAAAAATCTGCAAGCAGCTGCGCAGATGTGCAAGAGTTCGAACGAACAATACAGGACAGTTCGGGCAATCCCACGGGAGCGAGTTCGATGTCCGAATTCGGCCTGCGACTTTTCCACCAAAGCAGGAGATCTTGAGTGCACGATACGCGCGTAAGAAGGGCGCAGACCAGCGTCGCAGCCGCGGCTTGTTTTCCCCGGAGCGAAAAGGGGGCTGAGCGTGTGTTTGTTTTCTTCCGTTGGGCACGGCCAAGAATCGAGGCAAACCATTTGAAACATTGTTCTCTAGTATGACTAACATTGGCTTTAACCCCGGATGCTAATTATTCCCCAGAGCCTTTGCTGGTTTTGGCGCATGCCCATGGGGTTCTTCAAAGTGTGGAACGGGCGTCCCTCATTGCCACAAGTGGTCCATGCGGCTTTTGGTTTGTTTGGAGGAATGCACCAAAATTGGGATGTTTCCGGCCATGGCATCATCAACTTCTTTTTAGCAGCACTTTGCCGTGCTCGCGTTTCGGGATCCCCCTGCCAGGTGTATGGAGGGCTGGGTATCCCAATAAAATGAACCCAGGATTAACAACAACCCCTGGTCGATTGATTCAGTTTGAAGAGGGAATCCTTGACGTTCTCAGGAAACGCATCCCTATTCATTCACCAGGTTTGTCAATCCGGGGTGAACATTAAAGGACCCTTGCCCCTAGATTTCCCCTGTATTGATCCCAAGAGGAATCATGTACGGAGAGGGGCTCAAACCCGTCGGGGTTTCAAGCATATCAGGGTTGGGAGCATGTGAGTCCACAGGGGCTCCACAATGTGATTCCCCCGAGGCAAGCTTTGTTTTCTAAGAGTGTTTCAAGCAACAAACATGATGAGCCACTTGCTGGTGTCTAATTAGGTTCTACTTCGTTTGTCAACCACTTTGGGGGGAAATCCAACTCCTTTAAGGAACCTTGCAAAGCCAGGTGTTCCCTTTTAGGGGACGGGCGCCTTTTCGTCGCCTGGCTCGTCGCCTGACTCGTAGGCCCTGGCCAACGCTACGGAGATCCGTGGCAAGGAGAAGCAAACCAACGCCCGGGGTGCCCAGCGTGCGCTGGCACGCGCCGTCTTTTTTTAATTGCCAGGGGGTTGTCTTCTATCGGAACAACGGGTGGAACCCGGTTTGAGTGTTTCCCTTTGAATCAATTCGACCTGTGCTTTTTTGGCGAGATTGGGGGCGCTGGACAATTGTTTCCATGGATGATTCGATGGTTCAATGTCGGGTGTTGGTTGGGTGTTGAGGTTCACTCATCAGCGCAGACGTTTTAATTTCCACGCCCCCAACAAAAAAGACATTCAGACAGTTTTGAAAGGGGCTCGCAAAGGGAAGAACGCGCCCCCGAATAGTTGGGTGAAGCAACCCTTCGTGCTGGATTAGAAACGCCCAACACTGGGTTGATTCCTTTCCCACGGTTTTCCCCTTCAAAGACCGGCCCTTTCGCCTCGCGGGTCGGGTCAATGGAGAACCTCCGAAGCGAGCGGACTTGGGGGCATCTTCCTGTCCGCGGAGGTTTTTGTTGACGGCGCCGAGTTTTTTTCGAGAGTCTTGTCACAACTGCAAAGGCTCTGCGCGGGAGCTCCTGGAGCCCAACCGTTTTGAAGGCTTGCTTTGTGCTGCTTCTTCTTTTTTTGGGGTCGGAAGGACTCGCTGGTTGCGAACTGAGCCCTCAGCAGACCAATTTTTGTGGGTTGGACATGTTGGCTTTCTTTGGTTTCTGTGGATGAAGGTGTTTTTGCTTGCCGTTTCTGTGCGTTTCTGTGCCAGAGCGGCCTGCTGTGGGGCCGGTGTTTGAAATCAGCCTTTTTTATGCCTTGCCATGGATGGACCCGCAACACTTATGTTCAAAGTGGTCTGTGGCACAAAAATCAGGAGAACATCACGTGGACAAACCGTAAAGCTCGCGGGACAGTTATGAGTTTTTTTTTTGTGTCAACTTGTCTTGGCACATATAGCGTTTAGAATACATTCTAAAGATGTTTCGCTTAGCTTGATTGTGTTTCCAGCTCAATTCCCATATGCTAGATGGCTAGGGTATTTTAATGCTTAAGATGGGTTTTAGAAGCGTATTGCGCAACACTTCTTGGAAATTGAACAAGAACGTGCTCGGGACACTACGCTCTTTGGCTCACCGCACTCTTGCGAAGATGCACCACCCAACAAAAGAGAAAAACGCAACATAATAAAAATGTTTTTGCCATCGATATTACTGTTATGTACCATCTAATTTGCTATTTTTCTCCTGGATTTTTGGATTGCATGTGCTGCCTGTAAGCGCCCTGCCTGTGCCAAGTGTGAGTGAAGGCACCTGGTCTCTGTAGATCCATCACACCCGCAAAACAAGCAATCAGCAGAATATATCGCACTGGACACAATGCGAACATCAGGAACGTGGCGACAATCTAACAGGCTTTCAACATTGCTGCCATGAGAGAGCTTGCATGGTGGAGGTCTATCAAGACAATGGCCAAATTGGAGAAATCACCAAAGAGCCTCGAGGAAAACCAACAAGAACCAAGAAAGCAAACAAAAACGACACGCCCAATACCGATTGTCTGGGTGGTTGTTTTGTTTTTGTATGTGCAGGTGTTTGAGTGAGCGCATTTCGGCAAGACTGCACAAGCATGCAAACAGGGCTTTTTTGCGGTTGAAGGACGCTAGACAAAGAGTTAAAGTTCTGAAGCCTTTGGCCTTAAACCAGAAGACTGATGGTTTGGACAGGTCCACCAGACGAGTCTCACACATGCAAACCCGGTTTCTATTCGTTCCCAAGTTATGTATGGCTGCTTCCTTATTTTGGGATCCCCAAAAATGACAATGTGTCTCACAGCCACTGAATGGGCTCCCCCCATTTCACACCCGAATCATTGTCAGTGCTATTTCCTTTGTGTGACAGGATGGGTTTTGTTTGTGGTTTTGTGGCTCAGCCTTCTAGAAAACGGTTTGGATGCACTTTTTTTTCTCTGATTTCGCTTGTTCTTCCCTGTTGGTTCGTTTCTAGTGATCTTTTGGTGCTCGTTTAATCTCCTACAGGGGTTGGATCCACAGATTCGCCACATCCAAACCGTTTTCTAGTCGCTTCTCTTCTTGACCAGCCCGCATTGTCCCGTTGCAACCCGTGACCAAGGCAGCGACCATCAAGGAGGCAGCGGACGGCACCTTCCGTGGGTCCCAAGTCCCACACCTTTGGTCCCTTGGGACGGATCTCAGATTTCCAGCATGCAAACCACCCAAGCAAAACGAGGGACATTTGCTCCTTGAAAATATGGCTATACCAAAGCTGTGCATTTCAGCAGACCACTCAAGGTAGTGGTTGGGTGGAAAGAAAGCGTCTCAGCTGGAATGGCTTCCACCTTTTGGCATCGAACTAAAAACGAGCTGGCGCTCAACACACGGGTCAACGACAGGCGGATGGATGGGGGAATGCCTTCAGCTAGGCCGCATGGCCATTCTCGGAGCGGCACCCCCCTCCCCTGGCCTAAAAATCACATATATCTACATATATCTACATATATATATATATATATAAGATATATATATATATATATTATATATGTGAGGCCTCTAATTTTTGTATATAGATTCACACATATGAATAGAGTATAGACATGTCATGTACGTTGCTTATGCAACTTGCACCCTTGGTTTCAATCATCGCTTGTTTTCCGGGGACGTGGAGGGTTGTCAGAGTGAACTTCCGTTGGGTGGGGTGATGTGCAAGGGTCGGGCTGATTTGATTGTTGTGTTTTGTTTTGTTGGCTAGACTTTCAAGTGCATGTACAGCGCCTACTTTAGCGCTTGTAGCTGTATGTGTTGTCAGTTGGCACCCACGTGTATCTGAGTGAGGACGATCTTTGGGTCGCAAATGTCGGTGTAGAGGTTGTGCAGCCATCCCTTCACCCCCATCCCTTCACCCCAAAGGTGTTGTCAGCCTTGGAGAGTAAAACATCGCAAGCTGCGCCAAGCGGTAGAAGCACCTGCGGTACCAGATGCGCGACTCGTCCCTGATATTGAACAAGGACTGGCCTCCGCGGACCATCACGTCTTTCTTTGGCACCGCGCCAGCTGGGCAAGGACGCGGTCGCCGTGATCCTCGAGGATTTGCTCTGGTTCGATGCGAGGCGGGGTCTGGCGGCTTCCGCGATCCATGCCAGCGCAGATGGTGTGAGATCCGAGAGCGCGCAGTTGCGCGCTGAGAGCGCATCGTTCTCAAGGCCTGCGGCAAGCGATCGAACTCACATATCGCTTGCAGAGCGCACGTGACGCGCCTGCCATGGATTGCACAGTCGCCTATTGCTTCTTGAATGTGCGCTGATGCTGACTCAGATTAATCTTGGGCTCATCGAACTTGAGGGGTTCTCTGGTCGATTATGAGACGCACAAGTTCCCGATACAACGCAGTTGCTAAAACGCGCGGACTGATACGTTGTTACGGTTCATCATTGTCTCTCCGCGGTCTCTGCTCAGACGTCATAGGTGAAATCAACAAGATGAGAAGGGCCGACTGGGGCGGAAAACCCACCTCCGAATCCGAGGAAGAAGCAAGGGTTGATTCGCCGTCGAAGGAGAAGAAGAAGAAGACTGAGCCCAAGCCAGCGCAGTCATTGAAGCTGACCGCGAAGATCAAGGTGTCACCAAGGCGTGGCGTGGAGAAAGATTCTGAGTCCGTGTGCAAGTTCTGAGAGGGCTGTCAACATGGCGAATTCCCCTGATGAATGGTGACAAGAGCCGATCCCCGTATCCAAGAAGAAGCAGTGGAAGGGATCGGAGAATAGGGATTCTACGCCATTTTGGACGACTGATGCTGCATCGTCGCCCGGGCAATTTCGGCCACCGACCCCCCGGTGAAAACGCAGGCGGCTCCGGTCATCAAGACGAGGGCAAGCGGAAATGCAAAGGGCAAAGGAAAGAGGAGGAAAGGCGCTGATCCACTTGCTTTTGGGCGCCGCAACATGACCCACGTTTTTTTATATGCAGAGGAACGTTTGATGCGCGCCATTGACCCGGATGGAGGCATGGGCTGGCCAGGTTTTTTGGGATGGGGTGAGCGAAGCGCTGATGCGTCGATACATCTGGGTATTCATGAGGCCATCAGCAAATTTGTTTTTTCGTGGGCAGCTGCGCGAAGCCGCCGTTGCATCCTGGCATTTTCCATACTGAGGTTGCGCAAACCTGCCGAGTGCCGTTCAGACAGTTTGCGCGCATGACCTTCAATGGCCCAAGAAAACGCCGACCTTAAACCCGAAAAATTGAGTTAAGCGACCTTGTGTAAGTGTGTGTTTGAAGGCTGGTTACTTTTTAAACAACGGGCTGGCTTTACCCAAATCGATAGCCATCAGGGCCTCCTCCCTTGCAGGATTCGCCTTTAACGAAGGATGAACCTTGGAATCTTTGCGTGTGGTTGAGCCGAAGAGCGTTCTAGCAAGAGCAATCAACGTATAATGTTGGCACCTTCTCCCTCTCGAAGTTCTTGCGCTTCTCTAGTATGTACGAGTGTTTGCGTACGTGCGTCTCTGTGGGACCTATGATTGTTTGTATCTCCGCGTGCGTTTCTCTCACCGCTTTCGGCGAGGGAGCGCCGCAGCAGTGATTGAAAGACAGGGAGGGGAGAGATAGAATGGATGTGGCCCTTAGTGGTGCTTAGCGGCCCGTGGTACTTTTTTCGGCCGCAATGCATTCCCTTGCTATGGCTCTGACAGAGTAAATGATTCACGTGACATGTGGTCCCCTCTTTCGAGCGTGCTGAAAGAGCGCATCCATTTGTGGAGCCCGCAGTGGCATCTCCAATGCCAAAAATTTCAGGACTAAACAACAGCACGGTCTTACATGAACTAGCCTCCATTCGCTTAAGAATATTGTTTATTTTCCCTTTTTGGTTTTACAAGGAATTCATCACTACTGGAAATATTTTCATTTTTTCTCGGAGCCTTAACCAAATGGAAGCTAGACAGAACCTCCTTCCAGCGCAGGGACTTGCCTCGAAGGTGCTCCCCAAAGCCATGCGCCTTGCGCCAGGCCCAGGAGGCGCAGGCGGCGGTGCTGGAAGCGGTGACCGTGCTCAAGGAGCCCGGGGCCTGAGCGGCGCGACTCGGTGGTGTCCTTCTTAGATTTGTTTACCAGGAAAACCCATTCCAAAGGGACACATATGCAAGCGACCTTTCGCGGCAGGTTTGCGGAAACTCTGTGGTTTGATACGAACTGTTTCAGTCAGTTTCAGTCTGTGTGAAGCAGAAAAGTGTTGTTGCATACGAGAAGCACAACGTTTCCAGAAGAACAATTGCCAACAGCAGTGTCCAAGCCTACACGTTGCATTAACAGGGGCGGAACATTATTTTCCTTACTTCAGCTGACTTTCCTTTGTGCACCAAAACTCGCGAAAGCAATCTATCAAGCATTCGCCGCGGAAGGTTTGCGGAAGCAAACGATGAAACAGATGTGCCGCGGAAGTCCGCGGAAGGGACCTCTCGAACGCGGAAGGCTCCGCGGAAGCTTGAATAATGTCCGATCAAATTTAAGGGGAACAAGCACCACTGAAATGGAGAACTCTCCCCGGGACGTCAGCCCCGAGGTTCTATGAGAAGAGTGGCCTAGCCCTCCTCCAGGAGCCAAGCCGCGACGCTTCAACTTGGGTATCGCTGGGGTGAGGTGTTCTTGGCTGGCTATGAATTGTGATATGGAACCTTCTCAATGGTTGCTGGATGCATTTTTTGTGGATTTCACCAGTTCTTCCCCCTGCAGGTTCTTTTTTAGTGTTTTTTTATTCGCACTCTTTCAATATCCCACAGTCGTGGATCACAAAAGCCACATCCAAACTTCTAGATCGATGATTGCCGGACATTGAAGTCTCCCGCGCATAATTGTTGATGTCCGCCCAGGTGCCCGAGTAAAAAGTCCTGTTGCAAGTGGCAGGTGGACCTCCAGCTATAGGGGGGTTGATACAACATTCCTGGCTTTCAAATGACCATGGGTAACTTTTTTTAGTGGAAACCATGCTGCGTACTTGTTTAGTGGTTTTTCCCCCATGGTCATCCCATGTAAAGGACAATTTGATCAACGCCCACATATACAGCTGTTTTGATGGGTTACCCTTTTTTGAAACCCTTACTTGTTCTCGAATCATAGGGTTGCTACTTTCAGCCTTGTTAGGTCCTTGGCTTGAAATTCATTACTTTCCTGGAACTCCAACCCCAAAGATTCCATTTCCCTGTATAGTACGGGAACGAGCCTTTAACAGCCAAAAATGAAGAAAATGGCTGGTTACCTAGAAGATAGGTAACCAGCCATTCCACTGGACCAGCCAGCTCCTTCAGTTTCGATTGGAAGCTGCCGTTGAGCCAGTTGAAGTTCCGGGCAATGCGAGGCACGACTCAGCCCTGGCCTCGTCTGTCCCCCTTAGGCAGCACACCTCACACCTTGAGTCAGCTCAAGTTCAAATTCTGACCTTTCCATTTGATAGTTTGTAGGTTTCCGTTTGAGTGTTTGGCAAGTTACAGCTGGGTGAAAGTACATGGCAAGAATCCCCCACGTTGGTTTCGGCATCCCCTTTACTTGCCCGCATGCAGGCAATGGTGTCAATTGCTTTCAAGCGTAGAGAGTGGTTGGACGGGAAGTGCGACCTCAGGATGAACGTGCACAATCGTTTTTCGAGGTCCCTTAATTCGTGGTGGATGAATGCGAAATAAGGAGGTGCCCTGGAAGGCCCTTTCAGGGGATGTCCTTGTTTCCTCCTTGGGAATTGCGTGAGTAGTACCAAACTAACATCGGTGTTCTTTCTGGCTGCTTTGTTTTGGGCTTGCCCGGGATGGGTTCCTGATTTTAAGACATGCCAGTGTTCCAAAGATTCCAAGTTTTGACCACGTCATGTTCATGGATTTCTACTGAAAGGTGCAGGGTGCGTAGTACGTGCTTCGTAAGCCTTCGTAAGCCTGGTTGTCACCCACAGAGCGGAGACTTATAACCATGGAAATGTTGAACCCATATTAGTCAATCCCAGGGTGTCACTCACCGGAGACTGCAGAAAAGCCTTTTTCTAGGTCAGATCACCAGGCTTACTAACCACTTGCCTCACGTACCCTGCCTCGATCGCCCCTTGAATTTTGGGGCCTTTTGTCGCTAGGAGAGCGCGAAAGCTGCGCAGCCTGTAGCCCGGCGAGCAGAAGAGACATATCTATATATGTATATATTATACATATGTTTATACATATATGTATATAAATGTATCTATATATATATATATATATATATACATATATATATATATATACATATATATGTATGTATGTATATATATATATATATATATGGCTTGTTGAAAGGGGTACAACGAGCACAAGTGATGATGAGGATTTGAAGTTGTGATTTGTAGTCTACTTTTGGTTTTGGAGAGTGAGAAGGGGCATGGGCGCATTTTTTGGGCCATAGACCAATTGCAATTGGGGGAGGGCGAGTGTCTTCGGGTGCGTGGCCAATTCCAGCCATGAAATCCCAGCTGTGTCCAAGCAAGTATGTGCCGTGGTCAAGCGAGAGTATGTGCTCTGCTTTTGGGTGGTGGATTACTCGAGATGATCATGAACCGCTTAGTAGGGCTCCAAGGGAAAGATTGCCGTGACCGTGGCGTTTTAAGCGTGGCGTACAAACCTAGAAAACATCGCCCAAAGGCAAAGAATGTGTGTGTGTGTGTGTGTGTGTGTGTGTGTGTGCGTGCGTGTGTGTGTGTGTGTGTGTGTGTGTGTGTGTGTGTGTGTGTGTGTGTGTGTGTGTTTGTAGGAGCGTATTATACAGGATAAGACACCACACTTCCCCTAAAGAGTGGGTTGGCAGTGAAAGCCCATTGCAGTCCAGTCTCTTCGGGGCTCAAGCACTGCCCCTGTTGTGCGTGTGCGTGTGTACGTGTGCGCAGATTCGATGTTTTACAAGCGCCCGGCAGGCTGCTATATGTTGATGAATGCTCTCATTCTGCCTCGTGCAGTTCCCCGATTTGTTCCTGATGCAAAGTTTACGCATCACCTCTTGGTTGCTGTGAGCGCTGCTTGCTTTTGTCAAGGGCAAGTCTGTTCTTAAGGGAAGCCCCAACACCCGACTCGCAACCAGCCAGGGTTTGGGGATGGTTTCCTTTGGTTTTGCCCGAGGAATCTGTGAGCATCTATGGGGGCATGACTGACCAGAGCGGCGGCGTGGTCGCACTTCTGGAGGCTTGCGGTTTGCGCTGGAGGTGGCATCAAGAAGCCTGCAGACCCCAAAGACCTTGGATATTTGGGAGGAGACGGGCGTTTTTGGGGATGGTTTGCTGCGCTGCTGGTAATATCTGGGCCCTTGACACGTTTGAACCAGCCATTTCCTAGTTAGCTGACCCTTTGAACTGGACTACGGCCTTATAACTGTTTTTTGCCCAACATGCGCGTTTCCCGAAATATGGGGAGCCCCTCCAGAAAAATAAGGGGTGTTTCCTTTGGAACAGGGCTCCACTCTCCACAGCAAACAGGGGGGTCCTTCCCTTACCGGATGAAGGTTTAGTAGAGCACACTCTGGCCCATTCTCAGCCTCGGATCAACTAGCCGTTCCTGAAAGCTGACGAAGCGAGGCTGGAAACAAAATCGGCAGGTTCTGTATAATCCCCCAAGGCTAGAAACAACTTCGACAACATTTTGGTCTTTTTGTGGCTTCCTCCGCTGAAAAGAAACAGGATTGAGATCAGGTCGATATTCCGGGAACGCAAGAGGGAATTCGAGTCCCCAAAGCCCTCCCTCCGATACCCAAGCGGGAGGGCGCTGCAACCTCGTTGTTTCTGCCCGAGGAATGAAATTCGGAGCAGCCCTCGTGGTTAGCTGCCGTCCATTAACCCAGCTACAGATTCGTTTGCGGCTTCACGCTCAGCTTCATTTTGAGAGGTCGAATAGCCCCCGCAACAACATATGTATTTGTCCTCTCCCCCTTTTGCGGGTAGTCCTTGTTTGGATTCGAACAACTCCGGGGTCCTTTGTTGCCAGACCTCTTTTTGAAATTGACCTTAGAGTTGGCTGTGGGTCAAAACCAATAGTACCATGTTGGGGTAGGTGCACCACCCATTTTTGTCTATTTTGCTCTCTATTTTAGCCATGGCCATTTATTCTGGCTCTTGCCAGAATCTCCACAAGGCGACTCTTTTCGCTTGGGCTTTCGATCGCTCTCAGCGGTGGTTCCCCCAATTCAGGGCCGGGCGGAGTATGCTAAGTAAAAGTGCTTAGTAAGCCTGGTCAGAACCGAGTCATAACCCACCCACCATACCTATAAGCCTATGTGGGTTATACGTAGGCTTCCTCACCCCTAAGTATCCCGTCGCCTCTTGAAGGGGGCATCCGCTTTGACCCCAAACGCGCCGCCCAACGCACGCGCCCAACGCGCGCCCCTTTGCCGCCGCGACGTCCAAATTGGAGGCCCATGGCGAATTGAATTGGCCTCTTCTTCTGGAGGCACTAGGCTGAGCCGTAGTTTTTTTGATCCTTCCCCCCAAGAATACGAGGAAAGATAAGCTCAGGTGACTTTTGCAGATTCGGAAAAAAAGAAAAATCAAACAAGCATATTCTTTGGAACCCTCGCGGAACGGACCCTTCGCCGGCGGGCCAGACCATCGCCGCGGACTTTGCGCGCCTGGAGGCGGACACCAGCTCCGAGGAATCGGGGGGGCGGGAGGGAGGGGGGTGGGGGGGGTTCTTGGAGGGGTCAAGGCTGGGCATGCCGTAAGAAGCCGCGGGTTGGGTTGCGGGTACCTTAACATGGGGGGTGGGGGATTCTTGGGTCTCCAACGCGGTGTTTTCGTTTTGTTGGTTCAGTGGGTTGTTCCCTTCAACATGGGGGTGGGGGTTCTTGGGTCTACAGGGGCTCCTCTACAAACGATGATGATTGTCAGAGATCATTCGCCTAAACTCCAACATGAACCCTCCGTCCCGATACGCTCACCAAGCACTTCTGCAACCGTTTGAAGCCGCTACGGAAAATATCTACAGAAACTTGGTCAGCTTGCTTGCTTGCTTGCTCTGCTTTGCTTTGCTTTGCTTTGCTTTGCTTTGCTTTGCTTGCTTGGTTGCGTGCTTGCTTGCTTGCTTGTTCCTTGGTTTTTACAGGTGTTCCCGCAGGTTTCTTGCAACACCGCTTCTTTTTGACGTCCCGTTTGTCGCTGCAATCCCAGGAGCAGTCAGCTGGCGAGGAGTTTGAGAAGCTTCTTGGCTGCAATCCTTCGAAGGCACTCTGCTTGTTTTGTGGCGACACCTGAAACCTCACCATGAGGTTGTGGGTCAAAATGAAATCACCAGGGGACCGCAGGCTTTAGTCCATGTCTCAATTTACCAGGGTTCTATTTTGGGTACCTATCTTTGAGCCACAGCCATGGTCGTTCTGATTTGCTGATCCCTTACCCTCCTGTCCATTCACATGGGAATTCATCGGAGGGTCCATGTGAAAGGAGAACACGTCCCAAACTGGGACCCCGAAAAGTCAGGTTCCATGTAAGTTGGTGGACAGGAGGGTAATTCGGGTTTTGGGAATTGTCGCTACATGTCCTGAGAACCCTCATAGGCAAAGAGCTTTGAGGTCACCAAAACAGACCTCGAGACTGGGAACACGGGGGCTGTGTGGGAACTGGGGGCAGTAGTACTGCGTGCAAATTTTTGAATGCAGGGGGCTGTAGTCAGTCCACATGTTTCAGCCCATTTGAGGTTGGGCCCGGCCTCCAGGCCCTTTAAGATCCACTACAAGCTGGCGCCGGGCAATGTCCGTCTCTTTCCATGGAAAACACAGTGAAGGTTTTGGCGTTTAACCTTCAAACTGTCAAGGAGTTATCATAACTCGCTTTGGAAGCTGTGCTGGCTGCCAGCTTTCGTTTCTCTGAAGTCAACCTTCACGTTTCTTGCAGGAATGCTTATAAATTTCAGGATAGCTGTCTTTCAAGATTGCCGTTTTCAAGGACGCTGCACATGTCTTGGGAAACCGCAATTGTTTACGCGCAAACCGCCAGGTGTTGGCAGCTTTGTGTTTGTTCTCCGAAACTTCCAGGCCGGAAGGGAAGGACAAATTTGTTTCTGTGGGGCAAAAAACCGGAATTCCAACATGGGCTGCCCTGGTAAGTGGAAACCTGGACCAACACCGTAGCCCTGGCTCTTTAATTTTGAGCCACTGCCAATTTGTTTGTTTGCAAACTCTGAACGTTCCGTTGGGGTTCGAGCGCTCGCTGGAAGGTGTGCAAAAGAGAGAGTCCCTCCCATTCTGAGTCTAGGTAAGAGGTGAGGGCATGGTAAGTCAACTGCCATTTTTTCGGCCCCCTCCCCTACTTTCTTCCAAATGTGGCCGTCGCAAGCCATGAGTAGGGTCCTTGGGGGAAAACTGGGGAGGGCAAGCTAGGATTGGATCCTCAGTACCAACAATACCACTACAAAAGCTTGTGTGGGTGTGTCGTTTTTGAGGGCACCCCTTTTTTGCGTGGCTTCAAAAGAAAACCGCAAGGGGCGTCTCCTTTTTGGGGGGTCTCCCTTAGTGGCGTGGAATTTGTCCGAGGTTCTCCAAGGACTACAGGCAGAACAAGGCCGAGAAGGAGTGAACGAGTTTCTACGTCTCCAGGTGGGTATGGGTCAAATTTTAACCACCAGGGGACCGCAGGTTTTGGTCCTTGGTTCCATTCACCAGGCTTTTATTTGGGGTCCGGTCTGTTGACCCACACCCAGGTATGTTTTTTGGTGGGTGTGTGGCTTTGAAGTCGCTTTGTCTAGGGGACCGCCACAAGGGGTGCCCTCAAACAAAGACACACCCATGTATTTTTTTCCTGAATCTGGATACTCACCTTTTTTTTGGGAGGGGGAATGGCGGACGCAGTTGGCAGTTGCATCAGCCTGGGCCTACTCATTTCTGCGGGCTTGGAAGAGAGCGGGGTCGCGTGCCACTACATTCGTGTGAGTTTGGGCAAGCTATAGCAGCCTCCGAAAGGTTTTTGGTTTTGTCATGGGTGTTTTCGGTCGGTCGCCCTTTCCATGCCCTTTCCGTCTGTCCCGAAATGTGGACGGTAGGCGCTCGACAGAATATCCGCCAGTGCTTAATTCAGCGAGAACATTCGATGCGGGAGGCGAACGTCACCAATATGTTCCAGTCTCGCACACTTGGCTGCATCCCCGAAAAAACTCAGTTGTCATCCTCAGTTCGCTTCAACGGAGCGGAAGCTGGAGCTGTAAACGTGGCTGGTGCGGCCAGGGTTCAGCGGGTGCTCGCACATGAGAGGCTGTCAAGATCCAGAATCTGCTCTTGCAAAGGCAATTAGGGTAGATTCGCCAACCTGGCAGCTTACCTGGGTGATTGATTGATATCCAAATGAGCAGCCCCCGTCATGGGGCCCTAACCTTTGAAATGTGATGAGTTCCTCCCCCTTGGTCCCTGTGAGGGCTGAAATAATTTGCCCGTTTCTCGCAGGAGAAGGATCTGAAGCACCTGCAGGAGAACAAGGCCCGGATAGGAAGGGCTTCTCCAGAAAACTGATCATTCAGGTACCCTCCCAGAGTTATTACCCCAGAGGTGTTTTCTGTTTTTGGGACCAGGGGTATTTGAAGTTCGAACCTCAACTCCCACTTCGGATTTATCAAAAGGGACACGATAAATCAGATCCGCTTTCCGCGGGGAATTCTCATGTTATTCTTGGGGACGGCGGAGTATTGTGAGGAAATCCAAGCGTTTGAGGAGAAAGCCCAGTCAAGCCTGCCCTCCCCTCCAGTAAGATAGTCCTTCTTGCAGGGTGCACATGTGTGTGTGTAGAGTGTGGTTGTATTTGTTTGTGTTTGTTGTTTGATTGTTTGTTTGATTGTTTGTTTGTATGTATGTTTGTGTGCGTGCGTGCCTGCCTGCCTGCCTGCCTGCCTGCGTGCGTGCCTGCGTGCGTGCGTGCGTGCGGGTACATATTCTTTGTATCGGAGTGTGTTTAGTGCATCTATGTGAATATTTGCATGGGGGTCGTATTTGTATTTGTACTTGCGTTTGTGCTTGTGGGCGTGTTGTTTTGCTTTTGTCGGTGCAGTTGTTTCTGCGCGGCGTGCAAGAAACGACCCTGGTTTCTTGGGTGTGCAGCTACGCACGGCACCAAAGCCACGCCTGCGCCAGGTGGAGCACACCGCGGAGCTGTCGAGCAAAGGCCATGGAGAGCCGTCGAGAGCGGGGCTGATCTGTCGGTTTGACCTTTGAAGGTTTGTACCTTTTTCAGGGGACCCTCCTTTGAGATGTTTGATGCTTTTGTCAGGGGACCCGATTTGAGATGGTTTTAACCACCCAGGACCCGATTTGAGATTGTGTTAACCACCCGGTTCAGCTTGCGCGGGACGATCAACGTGTTTTTCGCATCCAAAGAACGCAACTTTTGGGTCTCGCTAGGATCCACCCTAGCCTGGTTTCCTTGAAACAAGGAGTGAGTAAGTCAAGAAACCAGCGGAGCTTTCTGGGGTTTGGATCTGGCAAAAATGAAACTGTAAAAGAGGTTATTTCCCTTTGGTTTCCCATGCTTGAAACAACTAAAAACAAGGCTACCCAAAACCAGCCACCCAAAGCACCAACCGCGACTGGCTCAACTTTTGGTCCTTGGGCCCCTTCGACTTTTTCCTTCGGTCCGGGTGCTTGAAGCTTGGGGAAACAAAAACGCCGCGCCGTACCAAGCAGGGGTTTTCTTGTGGGGGACCTTTTGTATTTTTCTAAATACTTTTTTGGGGGGATTGCACTTGACGCAAAACCTCCTGCGGGCGAAGGAGGACACGTTTTTCATGTTGTGCCTGAGACTCCTTCTATTGGTAGCCTGCAGATTCCACAGATCTGCGTGATTTCCACAACTTGGATGGTAGCTTGCATGTTTTTGTTTTTTTTTTGGGGGGGGGAGTCCCCCGTATCACACGATCCAACCAAATGTTTGGCGGACATACATCCGCACCGAATTTCGGATGGGAAGGCTTAGACCCCGGACTGCCCTGAGTTTTGTTTCCCTTTGCTCCTCTTCCCTAAAGTTGCCCGTGAGACTTTCTGGCCGTCACCGGAGAGAAACGTGGAAGCCCTTTTTGCCATGCGACATTTACACATTCGGTGTCTACTGAGAAGGGGCGGGTGCGGCCCTCAGGTGTTTTGCTGCTTCCTGCACAGAATGTGGGCACCGTCAACAATCGAAGAGCTGAAGCCCACGTTTTTTCCTATTCCCACTCCCTACCTCCGCCTCAGAGGTTTAGAGTGCAGATCAAATCAATTCCTTTGCCCTGCTTTTAGGTGGCTTTACGGGAAGCTCTCCCCTTGGGCCCTGGTGGGCGTTTTTCTTTTTGGGGGGGTTTGGGCGCTTCGCCGAGCCCAGATCCTCTTCTTTGGCGCCGCGAGGCTCCGAGCTGCAGACCGGGGAGCAGGAGCTGGCGGCGGCGCTGCAGTACTACGAGGAGCTGAAGCGCCTCGGATGCGGCAAGTCGGCGCCGGGGAGCAGGTGCTCCCTTTTGGTGCTTCTCCCCCCCCCCCCGGAACCTTGGGGTGTATGGGCACTCGCTTTTTTCTTCTTCTTTTTGTCTGGGGCCCGCCGGCCCACCTTTGTGATATGAGAAGGGAATCACCAGAGACTGGAGGTGGACCTTAGTCACTTGTGGGGATGTTGGTCAAACAGTTCGGACTCCTGGTCAATCCACTCAGGAAGTATGGTTTTAGGGCCACTGTTTGTGATATTGAGGGCATCCGCTTCAGGATGATAACTAGTCATAGGCTTTTTGGTACGACCCAAGCTAGAGTCGGGAGGGGCCTTGAGATTGGTTTCCAAAGGGGTTGGCGGTGTGTTCAGAGGCTCATAAACCTAGCTGCATCCGTTCTGATTCCTTATGATCACGTAATCTAACCTGTGCAACCTTCCTGTCACGAAGCCTGCCATCGGACAGGAGGTCCTTTCTCCTCGGTCTAGGGCCCAAACCTTTGGGCCCAAACCTCAAGGAGCTGATGGGTTTAGAAGCCAGAATTTGAGGGTGATGTGAGTGATGTGCAGTTCTATCTGTTGTCAAAGTCGTCGGCCATAACCCACAAGCGGCAGCTTACAAAGGCCATCAGACTGGGTGGTTTCTGCGCCAAGAGCATTGCCTCGAAGGTAGCACAGCGGTCGGCCATGAAGACCACTTTGGTATCACAGGGTTTAGTTATTTCGCCCTCAAACCCGCTCAGTCCCTTTGATGGGGATGATGCTTTCGGGGAGACATAAAATTGGGTCCCTGGTCGAGGGACCCCCTTGGATTTTATTTGGCGGCTGTTGGTCCACTTCTCTCACGTACTCATGCGCTGAGAAGACCATAGATACCGCTGGGCATGCGCAGCCATTGTCTTGCGAGTGCTATTCTCTCGGAGCACAATTTGCTTGTTGTCGCCATGGCTGCAAAACATCGCTCAACGGCATGCTTATCCATCCAGGTGGCTTGTGCAGCAGCTGCGCTGGCTTGCATGGGCATTCCTGACCTGCGGTGGAAGGCTGTCCTTTTCGTGTACCTGCCCTTCCGAGATGCAGAATTCGTGCAGCCTTGGCTGGACAGCTATTTGGACTTGGAGATGTGGTGGAGTCTCTGCCCCGAAGCATCATGTGTCGTGTGATTTTTGTCCCTTGACTTTTGGCACCTTTGGGAAATGGCTTGCATGGCAGTTTCCACTCTCCGCTCGGCCAGGAATCCGGAGAACTTCAAAGAAGGAGAAGTTGCAGAGATGCACGTCGCAGACTACTCCTGGGATTCTTGAGCTTGAACAGGTGATGTCCGCATTCGGGTGCGGTTTTGATTTTTCCTTGGTCAAACACCAAGGCTCCCATCTTCCCGAACCCTTGACACCAATCAGCGAAGCACGAACAGTGAAGCATGCCCGGTCGGGACGGGAATCCCACCTTAGTATCACAGAAAGGACGCCATTTCCGCGCCTTGCCGCAGTTGGGGCCAGGGCCTTCGCGATGTTCTCAGCCATACTGTGAATGGACGCTCTCCGTTCGCACCACTTTGAAACCATGGGAAGCTAGTGTTGTTGGTATTTACAAGGGAATCGTCACTCCAGGGTTTCTCAGGTGGTGCAGGATTTCGTCCATCCACAGTATTTGGAAAATTGGGGTTTGTTTTTCCGAAGGTTCCCATTGATCTGTGACTGGTTGGATGTGCCGGAAGGGTCTTTGCGAGAGGCGCAAGGTTCCAGCGGACCGGTTCCCCAGTTTCCGGAAGGTTCCCGGAAGATTCGGGAGTTGGGAATGTCTCGTATTGGTAATGTTGACCCCATGTTAATCAACCCCTGTTTTTTCATGGGGGGCTGTCCCTGGGTGAAATGTTGGGAATCAGACCACTTTTGGAGGCGCCAAAAACTGCCTCCCTATGAGGGTTGATTGCTATGGGGCCAACATTGGCCACCTCGTTACATCTTGGCATTGAGTCGGCCCATGGCAGCTGCCCCTTTTCGTTTTTTTCTTCTCCTTGCCCACCGGTCGAGCCTCAACGGGACGGTTAAGGAGAAGATGGAGCGTTTGTCGGAGGGATTCCGCAAGCCCATCGTGGCGACTCGTTTTCAGAAAAGGGCGGGTGGTTGTGCGTCCGAAAATGAATGTATCCTGTTAAAAGTGTTTTTGGTTGGAACAAGAGTGCTAAAAAAGTGACAGGTCCTTGTCCTTTTTGGTAGACACCCCCATATGATGCGCAACAGTTTCTCTTGTCTGCAGTTTTTTTTAGTTCCGTTCCAAGAGGTGCCTTCAAAGGTTTCAAGAGGATTTGTTTGTTTGCAATGATTCCAGGGTGGTTTCCCTTTGAAGATTGCTAAAAGTGGTTTTCGTTTGAGGTTTGCCGAATTCCTACAGGCTTCCAGAAGATTTCCGGAAATGGTTATCCTTTCCAGCAGTTCCCCGAAGTAGTTTCCTGGAAAAACACAACTTGTGGTTTCCCTTGAACAACCCGAAGGGGGTCATTCTCCAGGTTGAGTTGAGGACTCCCCCCTATGAGTGTCTCCTTTCTGGTGAGATCAGATGTGAAGGAGTCCGTCATTGAGGGAAATGAAAGACATGCACTGCCAGACAGTTTTTTCCCATTCAGATGCAAAATGGTGTTGCGGTTTTCTGAAACGGCATCTACCGTTTCCCCACAAGGGTCTTTTTGCACTCGTTTAACTCATGTCGATTTCCTTTTGCCACGAGTTGAAAAGGGGGTTCAACTCGCGTTGCATACACAATATCTTTTTGGGGATTGAATTGACAGCGAAGGCGTCGGACAAACAGCGCGGGTCCTCCATGAAGGATCCTTTTAGGGCGGGCGGGTGAGTGCGGGTTCTTGTGTCAGAGTTTGGAGTGTATATCTTTGGCAGATGACAGGCACTGTGATGGACGCAAAATGGATTTTCGAGTTGACATGTTTAGATGGTGTGTGAAATAAGCTTAACATCTAATCTAGACCGGCGGAAAAGAGTTGGGGATATGTCAAAGCAGGGCCCCTTGTCAGTTGAAAGGGAAATCATCATGGCAACGTGTTCGGAGGGGTCCAACTGGATGCACTGCCATGTCCACAGAATGAGCAATCCGTTTCTTTCAATCACAAAGTCATCTACATCTTCCAATCACGCATGAAAACATCTACAATGCTTCGTTAAGAGCAAAAAAGCAAAGATTCCCTGAAACCTAAATGGTCTTCTTGGTCTCCTTCAGATTCCTTCCATGGGAGGCCGTGAAGCGTCGGCGGTTTCAGCGTCTCGCTGAGGTCCGGGGCCTTTTGAACGACACCAGAGGCTCCCAGAACTTCCTCTCGCCTCAGTGGGTGGAGTCCCACGGCAACTCGACCGAACATTTTTGTGGCGCTGAGGAGAAGAAAACGACAAAGACACCGGCTCGCTCCCGCAGCCGACCGGCCCTGCGGGCTTTTTCTTAGGTAACTCACAAAAGTGGTCATTTTTTCTTTCTTCGAATGGGAGGGGCCCTCTCGGTTGGCAACAGTTGGTTCATTTATGTGGATGCACACCTGGTTCTTTTGAAGTGCTGAGATGCTGACATTCCACTTACCCCCAACGAGAAGCCCGTGTTGCTTGCATGATTGGCATGCCGGAGCTGCATCAGTCTTGGGCCCTTTCTGCTTTTCCCAGTTGCCTAGTGCCACCCCCTTCACACTCTTTCGGAGTGTGCTTCCTTTCGAGATTTCAAGACACTCGAAGCCTTTCCCTGACCAGCCGAGGAGACTTCGACATGATCGAGGCCGTTCCCCGGGACGACTTCAAGTTCGCGTACACCTACCGTGACGTGAAGTTCTCGGAGTACGTGGAGGCCATCCGCCAAGGGATCTATCGCTACACCAACGGCCTGGATGAGATGGTGACTCGCTACCCCGACATCGCGGAGGACATGGGCCTGGAGCGCATCGGGGTGCCCCAAGGGTGCAGGGCATTGGCGCTTTTTATCAACGGAGGTGGAAAGGGGCTGCAGTGGCACAACGCCAACAACGTGAACCTGGTGGGCATGTACCGGGGCACCAAGATCTGGGACGTCCTAGATGGCAAGTACTCGGTCTTCTTGGGGGTTGAAATGGTCGTCGATCCCTTCAGCACTGGCTTTAACTCCTTAAAGGGCAAGAGCACCTGGGATCGGCTGCCGGTCCGTGAAGTGGCGTTGAACCCCGGCGACGTCTATGTGAACCCATCATGGTATTGGCACAAAGTGAGGAATATCCCGGACCCAGAGACGGGGCTGGTCTTCATGAACAGCTGCAGGTGGTCGGATGTCACGGCCAGCCTTCGGGCACAACCTGCACTTGAATTATTTCGGCACTTTGGGCAGTACACCTGGGTCCATCCAAGTTTGCCCACCGTGCTGCGCCACTCAGTCGCCCAAATCCAGCCTGACTTGTCGGTTCATGTTGTTCACGTTTGGCAGCCACTTTTAGGGCCACTCCCCACAACATAGAGCCCCAAAAAGGGGCAATTAAAGGGTGTGTTGGTTCCAGACTATCTTCCGAGAGGAAGCTGTTGCTTGGTGCCAAAGGGCAGCTGAGGTTGGGTTCCTTTCGCCCGAGTTGTGCAGGACGGCATCCGCGAGGCAATGGGCTGGATGCCCCGCTACGGCGAGCCCGGCTATGAGGATGACTGCTACAGCTCCAAGGTGTCAGCGTGCGAGCGCAAGTTCGCAAAGCTTGGCTTGCCAACACGGGCTGAGCGATGAGCACTGTTTTTTTTTTTCCTTTGCTACTGCCATGGGCCGTGGCCGTCTACTCTCTTGATCCCAAAAGGGATTCTGCTGCAAGAGATTGTTTTTCCACATGTTGACAGTACACATTTTCAAGAGTGTAAGCGCTGCTCAAGCGCTTCGTCACATCGGCGCAAGCTGTTTGTCATGAGGTTTAGTCATAACTTCCATCAGTCTATAGTTCATTTGGTAGGGACATAAGGGACTCACTATTTAGATCGTCCGGCTCAGTTCACCAACATTGCTCTCTCAGCGGGGTAATTATCCTCTATCCTCTCTTAGGCGTCCGACACGCCGAACAGTGTCGGCGGATATTCCATGCCCTTTTGGGGGAACAAGGACTGTTGAGCGTACCTGATGTCATCTTGTCGGACCCCAGACCGCCTCTCTGCCAATCAGTTTGGGTCACCCTGCTGCCTTCCTTTGTAAACCAAAAGCCTGGCGCGGATTGATTTGTCAATCTCTATAAGGCTGGCGCATCGCTCAGCCTTTTGTCGCGCCAGAGCTTCAAGATATGCACTCTTTGTTCCGCCGCAGCGAAATCAATACTTGTGCCAAGACAGCCCGCGGCGAGTAAAACATGCAGTTGCAAAATGGGCTCTTATCACGAGCTATTCAGCAAACTTGGGACACTACGTTGTGTGCAAACCTGAATCACACCAAGTTTCCGCACTTGGGTCTTGAGCAGTCAACTAAAGATTGGAGTGGTCGTTCGAGACGAGATAACGTCCATGGCTTTCCCTGTCAGTGTGTGCGTGTTCAAGGACCTTGATTGACATCCAGCTTTTCATAGACAACATGCAACCGCCATGCAACCGCCCTGCCTCTTTCCGGAATTCTTCGAAGAGAAGGAAGAAAATCAAACGAAAGGGTTCCCCTTTCTTTCCCATGACTGAGGTGACATCTTCTGGCCGGTTTGGCTTGTGGTTCCCGGTTGCCAAATCGTGGTTCCGGTGCGGTTTGGGCCCCCCGCACATGGGAACACAGGCGCTTCGCAACCAGGAAGTAGTAACTTGATCCGCAGATGTCTTAGATGTTCAATGACGTGCGGATGGTGAAGGTTACAGGTGCTTAGTTTGGACACCAAGCCACAACGTTCAGAATCCCATCAATGACAGAAGCTTTGGGCGGAACAGACATGCGGAATCAACCACTTTGGATTTGTTGAGGTCTCAGCAAATACTTTTGTATGTGGTTGACGAAATAAGCAAAATCTGAACAAATATGTTGAGTGTACCCTAATTACTTACCTTATTATGGTGTACGTTCAATGGGCAAAGGACCGAGTGCTTGGGGCTGGTCTGGTAGGTTGCTCATGGACTTGTAGGGATTTTTCGACCACCATTTTGCTGGCTGGTTCTTCGGGAGTCAACCCAGGGTATGGGAATGAACCCAAGCTACAACAGAGTGGGTCATTCATTCAGTCACAAGGGGTTTGGGGATGAACCTCTGGATTTTGAAGGAAACTGCCAGGTATGGTCCTTCAGTGGTCCTGAACATGGCTTCATGTGGTCATTTGATTCATGAAATCAGGGATTCAAACCTAGTTTCGGCGTCATTTCAGAAAAAAATCCTTCATTCGCTGACCTGCCAGTGAGATTCTCCCCCCCCCTTTTCCCGCTCCGAGCTCCGAGGCCGCCCTGTGTGAAGGGCGGGGCCGCCTGGGAGGCCAATTGTTTCGCTCCGCTTCGTTTCCGCCGGCCGAACTGAGCCGTTGAAATGGAAATCCCAAATTCCAAATGGATGCAACAAACACATGATCATGATCCCCTGATATTTGAGGCAACAAAGAAAATGATCATGCAAGGGAAACTGTGGCGCGGGCTGGAAAACCAGTCCATTAGAACAATTCTCCCTTCTTGGTTGGGAGGGGCCGGCCCCTTGTTTTGTTTTTTTGGGCGTTGCTCCTTTTGTTCCCGGAACGGGGCTGAGCTCCCCAACCACTAGATGGCACAGATGGAAATTTGTTGACCCCATGGCTTTAGCAGCACCTTCCACGGTTCACATAACGACTCAAATTTGGACAGGGCCTGTTTTCGCTATTCTCCGAGTTGGTACCCATGTTCTTCTTGGTTTTCTTATTTTGAGACGGGCAATGCATAGAGATGTTCGCTCCTGAAGTCCTCGTGGAGGCAATGCAACCCAAAATGCCGTTGCGAATTGCATCGACCATTTTCTGGCGAGACAGCGGTACTATAGAAAACAAGCAGTTTTGGAGTTGGTAATTACCCTTTTTAAGCATGAAAAGAACAACCACCATTTTTCGGCGGTCCAAATCCCTGTGACCTAGTTTGACATACCCAAATGGACCGAGGTGTCACACTCTTGGTGTCCCCTCTTGGTGTCCCCTCTTGGTGTCCCCTCTTGGTGTCCTTTTTCATAGGATTCGACCTCGCCGCGGAGACAACATGAGGAACCCATGATGAAGTTCCCTGAAGATTCCTGATGTCTGGTTTTGGCATTGTGGTATACATTGCCGATATCGGTTTGTTAAGTCTCCCCACGGCAACCCGTGGATTACTTCGGATTCAGTCGTCCGACGTTGGACGCTCATGAGTGGGTTCCATGTTTTGGGCCCCGATCTTTTAGCCACCCCCAAGACAATTTTACTTCCAAGTGTGTCTTTTTTGTTGAGGGTGCCCTTCTTAGGTGTTTTAACAGGGAGAACCACCGAAAAACTAGGAATATTTCAGGTCCCCTATTTGAGACCAATCAAATATGTTTTCATTTGGCACTTTTTGATTTGTGCCACTTCGGGAAAACGCTACTACGGGTCTTGAACACGTATGTTCTTTTCTTTTTTTGAACTGGGTTTTAATCTATGGTGGTTGTTGGGAAACATTGTGGTTTAGTGGAAAAACAACAACTTCACTGCTAAAATTTAAATTCTTGCTCCGCTTCCAAGGTCAACCAATGACATGATACCCTACAAAAGAGAGGTTGCGAGTTCCCTCGAAGGGTTGCATCAATGTTGGCCGAGCAAGCGGGCTTAAGATGTTTTCAGCAGTGATGAGAATCCGGGTGCGCCCAGCTCGTGTCCTTGTGCTTCACAACAGCCAGATCCACTCTTTGTGGAACTAGATGCTTGTAGTGTGCCGCTTTTCGTGGTTGGGCAAAGGCTCCTGAAAGTTATATTTGATACATGTGTATAATACTACTATATATATACATACTTGCTACTATATATATATACATACTACTATATATACATATATATATATATATATACATGTACTTGTATGTAAGCAGAGCCCTTCACAGGGTTTGAATTGTGAGCCGCCTTCCAAGACCTCCAGGCCCGAGGTTTGGGCCAAACCAAGCCAGGGGGCGTTTTTTTGGAGCTAGGTCTGTGACGCCCTGTTTTTTCCTGGGTGACGCGGGGGCTTCCACTCGTTCCCCCAAAAAAAATGAAAAAGAAGAAGAAAAAGAGGAAAGGGGCGCGTGGCTTTTTTGGCCGGTCGATTTTAGAAAGGGCGCCCTGCGCCTGCAAGAAACGAAAGAACCACTTCAGCAGGGTGCAGGGGTCCTCCAGGATGGTTGGAACAGCTTTTGGGGGGCCATTTTGAGTGAGTCTCCCTTTGGTGTGCTGTTTAGAGGGGAAATATAGGGCACCCTTCAGTCAGGCGGTTTTTTCCCTTCTCGGCTAAAACCCCGCCTGCTCCTCCGCGGAATGGGCTCCGGATGAATCGGAGGAGCGCGAGAAGCAGCGGCAAGAGGAGATCGAGTCCCTCCAGAAGGCGATGGAGATCCTGGCCACTTCCTAGGGCGGCGGCTTGGCGCCAGCTCGGTAAACGCGTGGGCGGTCTGTGTCTGTTTTTTTGTTTGCTTCTTTCCGGAACGCGCGCTTCCTGTTCCAGTTTTTTTTTTTTGGGGGGGGATGCAACAAAAAAGCGTGACTGTCACCATTTGAGGGGTCTTGTGATTTTGTGAGCCAAAAATCAACACGACGCTCCGGATGCGCTCAACACCTCACATTGCAACTTCCGAAGAGACCCCAGGACTTCTTTCTGAGGCCAGACCGAACCCTTTTGCCCGTTTGCACTTGGGTTTCACGTGTCCTTTGAACCTACCAAATGTTGGCTGTTTGAATGGGGTGTAAGTTTGGCCCTGCCTTTTTGACAGATGACTTATGTTGCCACTAACCCTCCCATCCAAAAATGACAACTTGGTGCAGTCAGTGAGAGCAGCCAAGGCAAAGTCTCCGCCCGCTTGCGACTGGCCGGAAGTCGCAGGTTCGGAATTTCACACGTCCTGACAGCGCGGAAGCGCTGAGGAAAAGTCCGTGCTTTCTTTTGGCTTCGGGTTGGCTAGCGGCACTGGGGAAGCTGGAGCAAGAGTCACCACATGTTCAGCTTGCAACGTAGTGTATTGCTTGCAGCGTCGTGGCGCATGTGTGTGATCGACATTGCAACGCATTGATCGCGACATCCGCGACTGGACCTTGAGTCAAAGATGTCGACTCGGGTGACGAGTCTTAGGTCGGTGCTCTCTTTGCGGTCTTTGAACGCACGTGGAAGGCACACGTTGGACACATCACCTGCTTACTGCAACAGTCGCGCAGCCAGCAAACGCGATGCCAGCTTCCATTCGGCAAGCGTAGGGCTGCTGAGGTCTCTGCCGGTGACCAGGCAGTGAGCGATGCTTCGCACCGTTTTTGACATGCGGTGTGCGGTGTTAGTGCCCTACAGAGTTGCGAGCGCGGAGCACTTGCAACAATGAAAGGAAGAGGGTTGCGACATCATGGTTGATCAGAGAAGGGGAGACTTGCCACAACCATGTGCGACTACAGAGAGGTGTTGCGCGGCTTGAACGCAGCTTCCAGAGGTTGCTGTTTGCCATAGTTTGGGTAAGTGTGTTTGTTGGTGTTGGTGTGTTTTGCTTAGACACACGTGTTGGACGCTCCATTGCATGGATGAACTCAAGAAGGAATCGCATTCACACGGAGCATTCCTGCTTCCTGCTTTTGCTCAAGTGGCAACTGCTTGACACCCCAACATCTCTGCACATATTCCCTGCTGCAATTGCCAAGTCCTGTGCCTTGCGTGTCGCATGCACCATTTGCTTGTCCCGGCGCAGCAAAACCTGGCTACTCAAACTCGAAAAGCTACGCCGAAGGGAAGCAACTCCAAGCAAGGAGCTTACTGCCTAATGATGCTGAAGGATGCTTAATGCCCACGTTCGATTCAGCTGATTTAATGCAACCTTTCGATGGGTTTGTTCTTTAATTCAGTTTGGCTGTTCCCGTTTCTAGGGCTTGCCTATTATTCCCATCAGGATTGTGCTGCCACTGGTTCGGAAGTTCCGAACATTCGCAGAGTGTACCAACAGACTTTCACAAAAGGAAGCCGATGGAAGCTGCTCAAAATCAAATGATCCAGCTGACTTCTTAGATGTAGTTTTGGAGACTTGTTTGGATGATTTTGCGGGCCGCATCCGTCGCTGACGCTGCTCAAATGAAGGTGGGTACTGTCTAAGCGCCTAACCACGTACTGTAGAAAGTACCCCAGATAAAGACCACATGTACACACGGAAACATCGAATAACCACACAGGAAGCCCCCATGCAGAAAATTCGGGTGCAACTCGCCCGGCGCGTGGGAACCATCCCTGTCCCACAGTCGGCTTTGCCGCCTTTCCCTCCGTCCAATTCGCGCTGGTTGACGGTTGACGTTGGAAAGTGACGAGAATTTCCGTGAAGGAAGTGGTCAAGATTTGAGTGGTCTCTGTAGACTCATGGTTGGAATTTCCCGGATCGCTACCTGCAGTTGTTGGAATGCCAACTCCGGTTCCGATCTCCGGTTCCGACAGTGCTGCTGGCACAGGCAGCCATCCAACGAAGCCTGACAAGACCAACCCGACACATCACTTGCAAACTCATCCGAAGGTCCTGCCATGGTCTGAGTATTACTCCCGAAATCAGCCAACCACGCGTGCCCCGACCCGCCTGGCGTCGTGGCCAAGAGGCCGCCGCGCTCGCAGGTTTCGCTGCGAAAAGGCTGGCGCCTGTGTTGTTGGCCGCGTACTCGGCAGCTTCTGCTGCACTTGCTTTTTTCGGCTTCCCTGCCCCAACTTGCCAGCAGAGTGTGTCTCACTCTCTGCTGTGCTCCGGGGAAGCGCCGCGCTCGCCTTCACAGCTGGCAAGCTCACGTATGTCGCCAGCCCTCCGCGCCGGCAGGCTCGGGGGGGGGGGGAGGGTGTGCTGTTTCCTGCACACTCGCTTCGCCAGGCCAGCGCTCTGGATGAACGCCCTTTTGATTGGCTTTCACCTTGTATCTAAGGCGACCGATTCGCAGTGGCGCTCTGATGCTCACTTCGCGGCTTTGCGGCCTAGCTGCGTGGACCTGCTGCCTGTCCTGGCTGCAGTTCGCCTTTGTTCTAGCCTGTCCAGGCCGCTGGTTGTAAGCTGCACCCCTGCTTCCGCTCAGGAAGCCTTGCTCCAAGTTGTCCTGGGCGACCGTGAGGCTGCACGCCTCGCCCGCCCTGTGCCCGGGATCCTGCTGCCATTGCGGCGGATTCTGCTGGACTTTCGCGGCCTGTGACGGTACAGCAGCGCATGCTTCGGCATCCCCCCGCCGGTCTCGGGAGCCCCAAGGCCACCATTAGCCTGGCTGCTGGACTTGCGCAGCAGGCGGACGCTGCGCCACATCCGCCCGCCTCGCCCAACAGCACGCAGCGCGGGTGCTAGACACCAGCTTGTCCCCCGTTAATACGTTTGTTCCAGGCGTTTGTCCGACGCATGGCGCCATGCGCGCAAGCACGGGGCTAAAGGGGCCGGCGCAGACAAACCTTTCGGCACGTTCGCATTGCTGCGGGCGATTCAGGAGCAGCCAGGTTTTCGCCGTGCTTGGCCTGTAAACAAGCGCAGCAATGCTTCAGACCCGGCGTCAGCTGGTCGAACTGCAGCATTCCGGGTCGTGCTTTTGCGGCGCTTACGCATTCCTCTGCGACGCAGCCCGGCCAGGCGTCTGCGCCCTCCCGCGCACGCAGAACTCATGTTTACAGCAATCGATAGCTTGCCGCGCTAGCCATCCAGCTTGCCGCGCTTGGAGCCAGGCCGGCAAGAACCCGATTTGGGCGAGGCAGTGTCGGCACTGACGGCGTTTTTGTTTTGTTTTTTTTTTAACAAGAAATGTGCCTGCCTACGCGGTGCAACCCACGCGGTGCAACAAGGCTGCCTGCACGCTGCTGCTACCGGGCTGGCACCCGCGAAACTTCAGGCGAAGCTGGGTCCTGAGGCTCTTCGCCCAGCCATGCACGACTGAAGCACTTCTGGCACGGAGCGGGCGCGAATACGAACACAGGCAAGGAAAAACAGCACTTGAGCAAAACCTTCCCAAAAGCCGGGCGAAAAATTAATAAACATAAAATCAAAAATGAAGCCCGGAAAAAAAACAAACAAACAAACCAAACAAAAAAACGGGGGGACCGACGCCGTCGTCAACAGTCAGTTCCAAATTCAGTGAGCCCCCGCGCAGGAAGCTGTGTTTTTGTGCTTCTTCGGGCGGTCCGCGTCCGCAGCTAGCCCTATATGCGCCCCAGCGCACACCATCCAACCCAGCCCCGCCACGCAGCAACAGCGACAGGAGCGACAGCGGCCGCAGGCGCAGCGGCAGCGGCTGCAAATGTCGCAGCCGCGGCAGTGGTCACTGGCACAACCAGAACAGCAGCGCCCCAACAACGACGGCGACGGGCGCAACAGCGATGGCATCGCCGCCTGGCAGCGTCCCTCGCGCGCAAAGGCTTCTTTCGCGTGCCGGGAGCTGCCTCCGACCGTCGGGCTGCCTGCGGCCCCATGTCCGCGCGGCTGCGAAGTGTGGTGCCAACAAGGCCAGTCCCTTGCGGCAGCGGACCGCTGGCGACGGGGTTGGTCCCGAGGCGGCTGACCCCCCGAGGCGGTGGACAACTGATGGATCTTTGTTGAACCTCCAATGTGCGGTTGGCTTGCACGCCGCTCGTCGTCGACATCGGCTAGTGACTCAGAAGGCCAAGAAATCGAGTTAGGAGCAAGTGCAGTCAGTGTGACAGAGCGCTCCGAGCATCAGGGCGATCGGGTTCGGAGGGGAAGGTGAGCTCAGGGCAGGTCGGAACTGGTGAAAGGCCGACTGCTGAATGGGCAAGTCTCGGAAAACAGAAGGGCCTGCGAGGGCATCTCCAACTGGAGATGCGCGGCGACTGCGGCCGCAGCTGGCGCCTGCCAGCCTCGCGCGCCGGGTTCGGGCAAGTGGTGGCCTGGCTCGTTGGACTGGTGGGGGCTTGGGCACCGAGGATCACGGTGTGGGCAAGTCAAACCCGGGTTCAGCAAGCGCTGCCCGTGCTCGGCGCAGCCAGGCCCGACCCGTGACCCTTCTTGAGGCTCGGCGCCGCAAGGAACATACCCCGAGCTCCGCCGCCTGCCTGTGATCGGTGTAGAGGTCGGCGGCTGCTGGGGGTCAGAGGCCGAATTTTTTCTCCGCCTCCTCGCGCGTGCTGGAGCCCGAGCCGCGCCGGAGGCCCCTCGCCCTGCCCGTGGAGCGCTTCTGTCCACAGCTTCGCTCGCCTTCGCTGACAGCCTAACTTCCTTGCCCGCCCCTGGCCTGAGAAACCTTGATCGGCTTTGCTCGGACTTGGTGACCTTCTCGCTGCGTGCCCATCTTCCCTTGGGGCGTCGCGGCTGCCGGCCCGGTAGACAGAGACTGCAGCCTGCAAGCACAAGGCGGGGCTGACGCCAGCTTCGAGGTGGGGAGGGGTTACTTCGAGCAACGCAGGGAGGTAGCGTTGGAAAACGA